CCTCCTGCCGCTGCCGCCGCCGCCGCCACCACCTCCAACCCTGCTACTAGCTCCAATTACATCTCACCCCCGGTAAAGGGAAGCCTGCATCACACCGGGCACGGAGACATCAAACCTGAGCGCTGCTGGGGGACACCTGAGAACCTGGAGGAGTCAGTGATATAATTATTAATTCCTCTCCGTCTGTAGCTGTATGATGTTTGAACGCTGGCGCAAAATTATAAATCTGGAGAGAAGCTCTCGCTCTCTCAACAAAAACAAGCACCCGCAAATGATTGCGGTCAAACTTTGTATGTTAAGCTGAACTGACAGTATCAACACAAACCCATGTATTGTAGGCTTGGCCAGTTATCTGCAGGGATAAAAATAGGTATGTGATATAGTGAAACTTGCACTGCAGTAAAATGACTCTGGAATTATAGTTTACTGACTGAGCTGGATTCCAGGTTATAAAGCAGTCAGGCTGTGTCTCACAATGGCTGCTTTTTAGTTACGTAAACAGAGAATAACTTGTGGAGAAAGCCAATACTTAAAGCACCTGAAGCTGAAAATACCAATCAAACTGAAGAAACCAGAGATACAAAGTTTCTAGTGGCTGTTTTCTGTAATATTATATTGTTTTAGCGTGGGTGTGTCTTTTATTGCCTCGTAGTCTTGGCATCCTTCTTGCTTTTCTTCTAATTTATTGACCTTGCAGAACACAAACCAAACAAAACAAGTTGTTAGTAGTGATTTTTACAAATAAAAATGTGTTTTTATTCTACTTCTATCATGTAGAAACTACACATAAACTTCCATCTCACTGAGTTTTATTGCAGAATGCTAACCGCAGTGCAGCCCTGAACTTTCACCCGCTGTCGGTCAATATAGCTTGTGTGTGTTTCTGTGTCTAACCTGTTTACTATTCTGACCCGTGCAGCAGCGGCAACTGGAGGCCGGGACCTGTCAGGGAGAAGGATACGTCCAATCTGCAGAAAATGGCAGGTAGGAAGTGAAAGTAAAACCAGCTGCAGAATGTACTTTATACCAGGATAATGGTAATATTATTAATATATGACTATAGATCATCTGGGATGTTGAATATTATAAAGTATTTTGTAATGTATATACACAATATCTTGTCTTTTCCTGGTCTAAACGCTGCACTACAGTGGAATTTTTAACACAATAAAGTGTTCAATGAAGACTAATGAGTTAATTTTTAACTGAACTCATGTCGTCTACTATAAAAGCATCAGAAATATTGTGATGTTTGGTTTTGTTGTTTTGTTCAGCTTCAGTAATAAACTCTTTAGCCTAAAGAAAAATGGGCTGACACCCTTTTTTATCTGCTATTGCTCACACTTCTGATGCCCTCACTGCTTCAAATGTATGTTAGGCCCTTAAAATGTTTTACTTACAGCTAAATAAAGTTGTTTGCCCACACTCTTCACAAATTCTATTTTAACATGTTTTAAAACGGATGTGTGTTATACAGCTATTAGACATGAAGCACTTATTCATCCAGGATGTGACTGTAAATGTGCTCATGTACTCTGTTGACCAGTCTGCCCTCTAGTGGCCTATTAGGCTAAACACACTCCATCTGTTCAGTACTAAACAGATACTACATGTATTTCCCTCATTCATTACCACTCAACTACTGTAATATTAACTGTTCTGTGTGCATTAAAAAGGGTCTCTTCCTGTGTCCTCAGGTATGTCCCGGAGCCTTGAGTCAGTTATGAGCGGACACCGACCGCGGGCAAACACAGTAGGGATGATCAGAGTGGATCAGCATGGCAGACTCATGCCTCCAGGGATGGTAGCTCACAGTGTGGTGATGCAGCAGGACCCACGTCGGTTCAGCGAGGCAAGCATCATCCCGCCGCCGCGCCCACCTCTCCCCAACCTGAAACGCTTGAACATGAAACTCCAGAGGAAGCCTAATATCTACCCGGTCCCAGGCACCTCGTGGCCTCCACAGGTGGTCCCGCCCCCTTCAGCGCAGCCTCAGCCTCAGCCTCAGCCTCCACCTCCACCCCAGCAGGGCGTCGGAGGCTCCAACCTGGCTAAGATGGCCCACATGGCCCGCTCCACCCCGCAGCTGGATGACTACTCGGACAACAGAGAGAGGGAGCCGAACAGAGATCGAGAGAAGTCACCTCATGTGCTGAACACGAGAGACAGCGTCGTCTCACAGGTAGGAGACTCATTGTTTTCTTTTTCTGGGTGAATACTTGCTGGATGCAGTCAAATACAAGGTCTGTCGCTCGCCTCTTCTCAGGTTATGGAGGCCGTGCACGGAGTGACCATCGAAGAGGTCCATACTGCACTTCAACGCAACGACTGGAACCCAGTGCGAGCTGAACAACAACTCAAGGTCAGACCATGAAATGACTCTCAGTGTCAATCTACATGTTAATGTTACCAAGCGTCACTTAGAAAAGCCGCTGATGCAAGGGGTTTGTGTAGGATGTAAAAAGGTTTTAAGGTAAGATTTAAGAATATAAGCAATATAAAAACATAACATTTAAAAACAGGTGGCGGTTGTGGGTTAGGGGTGGGTGTTTAATAGGGGCCCATAGGCAAAGTTGTGCACAGGTTAATCCGGTTGTGCTTTTTAACTTGACGTTAAAGCTGCACCAGCATGATGTCACCACAACAATATATACGTATGTTTTTTCTTGTACAAATTCAGTTGTGTGCAGCTTAAATAATTTTATAAACACTTGTAAAAAGGCAATTAAACACTGAGTTACATAAAGTTTCCTTTGTCTTATTCTCCATATATCCTCCCCTCGAGGTGTTGATGGATTTTGATTCTGATCGCTGTCTTCTCTTCTGTGTTGTGTCTTCATTCAGTTGGAGCAGCTGTACTCGTTGAGCCTGTGCTCCAAAGAGGACTGTGTGAGGGTCCTCACCAAGTACCAGTGGAACCTGCAGCTGGCCAGCCGCTACCTCATCCGATGGTCGCGGGAAGACCGGTCCGGCCCCGGCGAGAGGGAACGACCCACAGTCAGCGCAGAAAGACGAGTCTGACGTGATTCTCTGGCTGATATTAGAAGGCATTTTTCACACTGACACACTCTGACACTGGAAGATGATACGGGACCTTGACATGGGAACGGATGTAGAAGAATGAAGATGGTTACAAAAGGATAAAAAGATTTTGAAACATATAAATTTAGCAAAAAGGCTAAATGTTTGACTGTTTTTTTTTTTACCCAGTACATGATGTGTTTTTTGCAAATAGTTTTTGTATCTTAATGAGTTTGTATATATTGTACTATTAGAAATTATTGTTTATTGAATAAAATTGATCTGGTATTAATACTGATCTGCCATGTGATAGTATGAGCAGTGTATTGAGTTGGTTCATTGCAGATTATAACTCAGTAGAGTTAGTTTTATTTCTATTTTCTTTATTGTAATCTAACAGAACCTTCAAACTGTCGGCGGCGGCGCAGTTGCATTGTGGGTAATGTAGGCACCAGGTTTTGACAAGAAGGAAGAATACGTGAATAAAACAAAAACCACTATCCCCGGTTCTTCTGCTTTATAGATTTCGTTGAGTCTGACAATATATTCTAATAATATTATAAAAGCTAGAGGCTCCAGGCTACATTAGCCGCTACTAGCATAACACACCCGAATCTCCGTCGAACTGTTGGCGGCTGAGTTGCATTGTGGGAAATGTAGGCGCCAGTTTTATGATAAGAAAGTAGAACGTGTGGAATAAAAAAATATATTATTTTATTTATTTAATAAATAAAAATACATTTGTGTGAATGTGAATGTGTACATGTGCATTTTAATATACATATATACACTAAACATTGTAATGCTAATGATAACTAAACTTATGTTGTTAGTATTCAGTACTTAACCACAATGATGAGCTTCTTTGTGTCTGTTTAATGGTGCTGAGTTGTGTTAGTTTAGTGCTGGTCTTCATAAAGATAATTTTAAGAGAGAGGTCATTCAACCACACCATGAATAAGCATTATTCTGCTTTGCGCAACAGCAGCAGCAGCATGCAGAATGTCAGGTTAACTCGTACAACCAGTTAAGGCACTGAATTGTTGATTCCTGTACAGTAAAAAAAACAGATTATAGATTATGGGATAATTCAATTCTGATTTCCCAGGAGCATTGAGGCAAGGAGGGGCATGTGCAGACATGTTCCCAGAAACACTGTGATTGTACTTCCTACATGTTCCCAGAAGGTGGAGGAGTTATTCAGTGTGAGAGCAGGGATCTGATGTTTTCTGCTACTTTCCTTGCATCAGAAGTAGGGCAGGGATATAATCTGTTAACGAATGCAGGTAGAGAAAGGATGCTGATGTTAATACTAATGGTGTGCACATTGTACTGAGAAAGTTACCCAGTAACTAAAGTGGAGCAGAGTTTTGTTGGAGCTGGACTTTTTCTTATTTTGTGCCAGAGAATGAGAGACTGGATTTCCCTCTGAAGCAAAGAGAATTTTTTCCAAGTGAAACCAGATGTTCCACATTTGGACTTTAGGTTTCCGACGGCCTTCCCAAAACTTTCCCGGACAATCAGAGGAGCAGAATAACACAAGACAACAACACTCTAACAATGTCTTAATATGGCATTTGTTTTTATTTCTGAACTACAGGGTATTTCTTTGATTCTGTAAAAAAAAAAATGTAATTCACAATCACAAGATACAAGTGTTACAAACACATACAACAAAATATTTTTATAGGAAACAAGCTGCTGATATGTTTGATATAAAAAAGCTAATTAACATAAAACCCAATGAAGAAGTTATTGCATAAGATGTACTGAACAACCTTTGGCTGAACAACCTTTGGACATTTTCTTTTTCCTTATCAGAGGTTAAAGTTAACATGTACATATATACAGTATATATATGCGTGTGTATGTACAGATAATAAGACACATTTGGTTACTGACAGTGTAATAGAGAGCTGCAGTCTGGATTAGAGAGCACTAGTGGCAACCAAGCCTCACAGGAGGCACACCCATGTTATCTCACAAGAAAAAAAACGAGAATTTTTATTACATACAGAACAGAGCTGCCTTCAACAGCACTAGGCAGCATTTGCAAATACTAATACTAATACTAATGACATTTGTTTTTATTTAATCGAAAGCACAGCGATCAAAGGAGCTAAAACTGACCAAATTTCACATGACAAGTTCACATTCTGGCCTCTTTCTGCTGGAGAAAGTTCACCCGTCGCTGGTGGGGTTTTCCAATCGCTCTTGAGGTCAGATTAACGTTCACACTAACCTCAACTTCTGCTTTTTATTCCTCCTTTAGTCAGACTTTTCCTACTCTCAAACCGTCTCCTATGTCATTACACTGGCACACGTTCAACACAGTGCTATCTGGGGAAATTGGAGGGTGAGGGTTGGCGGCGGCGTCCGTGTCTCCACGGCAACCACCGGACCGCAGAGGGGAGCGTTTACACTGTAGCCTGTGCCACAGTTTGGTTAGAGTATGCACACCGGGCATTAAGACACAGAGGGCTTTGAGGAAGATGGAGGCAGGAGAGGTAGAGAGAGAGCACTTTGGTATACTGTCAGCATGTGTCAACTTCCACTAAAGGGGCGTGAAACATCCTCCCATTTCTTTTGCTAACACAACCACTACACGCATTATAAGCTCAATAATTACAGCCGGTTTACTGCGGCTAATGGACAGGTTTTACATAAAGCTTTTGTTAATTCATACAGCGAAACTAGCAGCTCTATGAGCTAACAAGTGTTGACCATCTTACTTTTGTTTGTTGGCATGCTAGCGTTTGCTAATTAGCACTGAACGCAAAGTACAGCTGAAGATGGTGTCATTAGATTTGCATGTATTTGGTGATAAGTCAAAAAGTACAAGACAAATTAAATTTTTATCCTGAAAATAGTGCTAGAATAAAAATTAAAGGATCACCAGAGTCAGTATAATCCAGCCCCTGGGCACTATGGATATCAGTACCACATTTCATGGCAATCCATCCAATAGTTGTTGAAGCCTCGACCGTACTGGACCGACTAACACTGCCGTCCGCTAGCTGCTAGCATAGGCAAAAGAAAACAAGGCACTAAATACAACCACAATAGTATTGCACTTAAAGTAGATCTATTTTTTTTTTCTCCATAAAATCCGAGTTTAGAGTGAGATAATAATAAACATACGCCATACATATGAAATGAAGCATGCCAGTGTAGCATTAAGTACAATCACAAACGTGTCGCTATCCACTCAACGGAAAAACACATCGAGGGCATAGTAGATTTTCTTTGGCGGGGATTAAATCTTAGCTGGAGGTACGTTACTCACTTCAAATAGATGACACGTCTACAGGCTATATGGACATATGAACATGGGCAACATGGCAGCCAGTATAAAAAAACAATCCTAGGCGAACATCTGGAATCAAGAGTGCATTACCTGATCTCGGCCTGTGGGTATAAAAGGATGGCACCAAATTGGCTGGAATCAGATGAAGGAATTATTTTTAAAAATGACAAATGGAAAAATTAAATGCGTGTTCAGAGGATGTAAAACTGGAGAAAGTCCTTGTTCTTATTATTTTGTTTTCAAATCCTTTTTTTCCCTCCTCTGTTACGAAAACACCGTGCTGCGCTGGTTGGCCTCTCCGACCTTCTCGAAGAACATGAAATCCTGCAATGTGACAACAAGGAAGGATATTAATTCAACCCCTGCTCAGACTGACGCAGCATGTATACAAAAAATAAAATGGGTGTTATTCAAAGTGGGACTTAAGACTAAGACTAAGAACTAAGACTGTGGTCTTACAATGAGGAAGCAGGCTCCCATGAGCACAGCTTTCATCTTCACGTCCATGTCCAGCGGGAACTGGATGCCAAAGTTGTCCGTGTCTGTGAAGACTTCCTTCAACAGGCCGCTCCACTGCTTGCTGATGCGACCAATGGGCTTGTCACCATCTTTGCCTTTCAGCTGCAGAACAATAAGAGCAACCATGTCTATAAAAGGCTTTATCAAGTGTAATATACTGTGATGTTATGGTGTTAGAGAGGAGATAAAGTATGCAGCCAGGTATGGAGCCAGGACGGTGACTTTAACATTTGGCATCCAAAAATAAAATTG